GGCTGTGCTATGATGTGGGATTGCTGGTGCAGGGCAGCGACACGGGAACTGGGCTGTGCTATGATGTGGGATTGCTGGTGCAGGGCAGCGACACGGGAACCGGGCTGTGCTATGATGTGGGATTGCTGGTGCAGGGCAGCGACACGGGAACCGGGCTGTGCTATGATGTGGGATTGCTGGTGCAGGGCAGCGACACGGGCAGTGGGCAGCAGGCTGGGGCCACGATGTGCTACAGGCAGAGCAATGACACAGGCACTGGGCTGGAGTGTGGTAGGGACACGGGGCTGGGCTGGGGCAGGGCCATGGGGCTCAGCTCCATCACCAGCGCCGCCGGCCGGGGGAGAGATGCAGGGCACTTACCCAGCCCCAGCACGGGGATGTGTAAGCCATTGGAGAGGGGGAGCGTGGGGAAACCCAGCGGCGCCCGCGAGGCCATGCTGAGCCGCGTCCCCATCAGACCGCAACCTCCGCCGCGCTAGGCAACTGTCTCCAACCCCTCCCCTGTCGTCGTAAAGCGCCGCAAAGCGAGGCGGGCTTTACGGCTGCGAGCCGGGGGGCGCGGCGTGCTGCAAGGGGGGGCGCCGCTGCGAGCAGGTTGTTGGCCCATGAGTCAGACGGGGGCCCGCTCGCGCCAGGCTCGTGTCCCCTGTACGGAGCCAGGCCCTAGCGCGCTCCGGGGCTGGCCTAGGCTGCTCCGCGTGCCGCTAGTACAGCCCGGCGGCCCTGGGCGCGGAGGGGAGGGGATGTTACAGGGGAAATCTGCGAGCCCGGGGCGGGGGACATCAAACTGCCCGGTGACCCCCGAGGGGGCTGGGCCTGAGCTCTGCAGGGGAAGAGTCTCCCTGGTGTTCCCCTGCGGAGGCACCCGGGTATCCATCCCTCTGATACCTGTTTCCTTCTTGTGGTAGGTCAGACTCAGGAACTGGCTTCTGTTTCACTCCTGGGATTAAAATGCTTTATCTGATTGGACTAGGGCTGGGAGATGCCAAAGATATTACCGTGAAAGGACTGGAGGTTGTAAAGCACTGCCGCAGAGTATACCTGGAGGCCTACACATCGGTCCTAACTGTAGGGAAGGAAGCACTGGTAGGTTTATGTGCCACTGAACTGAAAGTCTTTAATATCTTTTTGGAAAGAACAGAGTAAGGGGGATGCAGGGAATTGTGGATCAGTAACATTACCAGGAAAAATAATAATGTGACTCATTAGAAGAAAGAATAGTAAAGCATCTTTCTGAGTGTAAATATGATCAGAACATGCACGTTATATGAGTAACTTGTCTCTCTAGCTTGTTAATCCACAAGAGATTCCAATATTTCAACATTTGTTTTCATCCCAAATTGGGACAAAGTCCAAATTTCAAAATTTTTCATGGAATAGAAAGATAGAAACATATCAGTTTAGAAATGCTTAAACGTTTCATTGTTTAACTGGAACTTTTACGGTGGTGCTTTAGTCAGTACCAGAGAACTGTAAATTCGAGTACACAGTGGTGTGTCACACAATAATTGGCCTGTGTGGACCCTGCTGGTGCACACTAAAAGCTCCCTAGTGCAGTGGTTTTCAAACTTTTTTTCTGGTGACCCAGTTGAAGAGAATTGTTGATGCCTATGACCCAGCGGAGCTGGGGATGTGGGGTTTGGGGTGTGGGAGAGGCTCAGGGCTGGGGCAGAGGATTGGCTGTGGGAGTGAGGGCTGCAAGGTGGGGCCAGGAATGAGTGGTTCAGGGTGTAGGAAGTGGCTTAGGGCTGGGGAGGGGGTTGGAGTGCGGGAGAGGGTCTGGGCTGGGGGTGCAGGCTTGGGTGGGGCTCGGGATGAGGGGTTTGGGGTGCAGGAAAGGGCTCTCGGTTTGAAGGGGCTCAGGGCAGAGGATTGGAGCACGGGCTTACCTCAGGCGGCTCCCAGTCAGCAGCACAGAGGGGATGCTAAGGCAGACCGCTCTGCGCCCCAGAAGTGGTCACCAAAAGGTCCAGCTCCTAGACGGAGGCACGCAAGCGGCTCTGCGCAGCTGTCGCCCTCAGGCACTGACTCCCCCTCCCCTCCCCAGCTCCCATTGGCTGGGAACCAGCCAATGGGAGTACAGAGCCGGTACTTGGGGCAGGGACAGCGCATGGAGCCCCGTGGCCCCTCCACCTAGGAGATGGAACTGCTGCTGGCTGCTTCTGGGGCACAGCGCGGTGTCAGAACAGGTAGGAACTAGCTTGCCTTAGCCAGGCAGCACCGCCAATGTGACTTTTAATGGCCTGGTCGGTAGTGCGGACCAGAGCTGCAGCGACCCAGTGCCTTCCATTCTGTGACCCAGTACTGGGTCGCGACCCACAGTTTGAAAACCACTGCCCTAGTACACAGTATGTAGTGCTGTTAGAAACGGGACTACATTAACATGTACCAAAAAAACCTTTTAGTGCCCATAAGCAGGGTCCACACAGGCCAGTTAGTATGCTAGTGCACACTAAAATTTGTACCCCTTTGATGTGGACTAAGGCATTGTGTGCACAAGACCTTAGTTTTGGTCTGTTGAATGTTAAACTGTATCTGCCTGTGGTGTTGTCAGTGCATCATGGGAGATGTAGTCTAGAGCCCAGTCTGTAGGAGCAAATGATGGTGTAAAATACCTGAACTACAGCGCCTGTGAAGCACCAGTGCACTTAACACAGATGTCAATTCAACATTAAACTGCCTGAAATGAAATGTTTCAGTTTGTTGATTCAGGTTTTCTCTATCTCAGAAACAAAATATTTTAGATTTTTCCAAATAGAAAACTTTGGCAAAATTGAAATTTTCCTATGGAAAATCTTGATTTTGCAGAAACTACATTTTCCATCGAAAAGAAAATTCCCAAGCAGCTCTACATGTTAAATACAAAACATTGAACAAAAGAATATAGCTGTTATTAGTCTTTCAAAAAGCTTTTCATGAAGCCTCTGATACGATATTGTTAGGAACGTTTAATATTCCTAGGGTGAGAGGCCTTCTTGAGGCTTTGAAACTGGTTAGGGGATGGGAAACAAAAAACAGGAATAAATGGCCAGTTCTTAAAATGAAGAAGGGTGACCCTTAGGATATTGCTGTCCAAGTTAGAAGTAGATGACACCTGGAAACTGGCTGCTTAATAGTTTGGAGGGCAGTCACATATGAGCAACAATAGAGGGAATCAGAAAGCTGTCTAGAGATGAGGACTCTGGCCTGCAATGGATTGCTAAAACCATCCCATATTCTTGACATGCAGGGCCTCACAGGATGTGGGGATCTGGGGTAAAACCTGAAACTGAGGCTTCCAACCTCCCCCCATCTTGAAACTGGGGCTCTGGGTGGGGGTGTTGGAGAATGAGCCTTCCCCCCACACACTCACTCTGCACCTGTTCTGCAGGGCTGGGCCCAGCTCCCTGCTCTGGGTGTTGTGACCTGGCATATGGTACTTTAGTCACTTTGATCGATCAGTCCATTAGTCTCCCAAGTAGCTGGGATTACAGGTGCATGCCACCGCGCTCGACGTAAGTACTTTAGTATTGGTCCAAAAACATGACAGCTTACTGTAGTTCTATTACAATGTTTAGGACCAGCCATCACTATAAGGGAGTGTGGTCTGGAGGAATAATGCAGATGGAAGCTGTGTTCTGCATTTTAATCCTGGTTGTAACAGACTATTCACCTTTCTGTCTATTTCCCTGCCTGGAAAATGGGAGTATGATTTACTTGACTACATCCCAGGGAAATTTGAGGGTTTGAGATAAGCATTAAAATAATGCTAAGTATTATTACTAACGTAAGAGAAGGAGCTGCTATGTATCACTCTACAATGCCTACCACAGAGGGACCCCAGTCTTGTTGACTTTTAAGCACTACCACTAAACAAATGTTAAATAATATCTGTGTTTAGTTCCTCAGTCCAGTTACTGGAATTCCAAACAGCGTGGTGTGTTGATTAACCTTTATCATCAACCCAGCTTAAAATAACATATGTTAAAGCTATTGCATATTGACTATTTAGGTTGGCCTTCAATTTGTTGAAAGAACTACAGTAACTCCTCGCTTAATGTTGTAGTTATGTTCCTGAAAAATGCTACTTTAAGCAAAACAATGTTAAGCAAATCTAATTTCCCCATAAGAATTAATGTAAATGGAGGTGGGGGCGGTGTTTAGGTTCCAGGGAAAAAGAAATTCCAGACAAAAGACTGTATTTATATCTATATAGACATAGATATACTGTGTGTGTGTGTATAAGTTTTAAACAAACAATTTAATACTGTACACAGCTATGATGATTGTAAAGCTTGGTTGAGGTGGTGAAGCTAGAGGGTGGAAGAGGGTGGGATATTTCCCAGGGAATGCCTTACTGCTAAATGAGGAACTAGCACTTGGCTGAGCCTCAAGGGTTAACACATTGTTGTTAATGTAGTCTCACACTTTACAAGGCAGCTCGAATGGAGGGAGGGGAGACAGCATAGCAGAGAGAGACAAAGACACACACCGTGTGTGTGTGTGTGTGTGTGTGTGTGAGAGAGAGAGAGAGAGAGATGTGCATTGCCCCTTTAATTATGCTGACCACACTCTAAGTGCACTGCTTTTTTCAGTAGATCAGCAAGTTGAGACAGCAGGTGCTGCCAGAAAGCTCCCTCCGTCCTGAGCCCTGTGGTGTCCCCCCCGGCTCCCTCTCTCCCCCTGCTCTGTGGAGATGGGGTAAAGGAGCAGGGAGTGGGGGCGA